TTTAACCAACTAAAGTTTATATGTTATAGATTAATATAAATCAAAAAATTTAATTTTGAGAAAAAGGTCTCAGAGCCACATTTTCCTAGCAAACCTCCCATATGTCAAATGATAAAGGATCATTAGAATGTCTTCCAATTTATTCATTCCTCTTTCCGAATGAAAAGGGGTCTAGTTTATATAACGCTTATGACCGAAGTGAGGTGGAAGATAAATTAGTTATCAAAATCGACCAAGATGGTGATCATGCCCCCAAATTTTCTGTTGCCGATGACATTTCTGAAGTTTATGGCTTACCTGGGATTCATGAATGTATTAATGGTCAAAAACCTTTAAGAGCTGTGATTGACATCGATGTGTCGAAAGGGGATATGGAAACAGCTGATGTCAAGGGACAAGATGTATTTATCCGAATCTGTTGCTCTTTTATAAGAGCTCTGTACTGAATCCTTGACTGTGATTGGAAAGATATTCTCAAAGGGTTAATAATTACTACATCATCAGATCCTAGCAAGTGTAGTTACCATATTTTATATGCACCTGTTCTCCTTATTGATTACCATGAACTCAAAGCATTTACTGAATTAGTATATACCTTAACCGGGGAAAAATATGGTAAGTTTATTGATCAGAAATTATCTGGTCAAAATTTTAACCTTCGCCTTATCGGTTCAGCAAAAAAAGGACGTGTGAAGCGTATCCTTCAGTTTTCACTAGATAATGGGTGGAATGAACTTGATCACGTTAGAGTCCAACCACCCACTAGCTTAGGGCTTGAAGTAAGACCTCGAATGCTTAGTACAGAAAAAAATAATAATCTGCTAAGAATATCTGTGGGTCAGGATGTATTACAAAAATTCGCAAATCTAGTTTTGCAAAAATATTCTAACTATCTTAGGGATTGGACTATCGAAGAAAAGGAAGAGACAAAAGAAAACTTCGTATATTTTAACCGAAAAGCTCCACTAGGATGTCCACTCTGCAAACGTATATATGACAAGGATCAGTGGTGGTTCGGTCGTGTATACGCTAAAAGTGGTGAATTTATCATAAAATGTTTTCGGCAAAATAGTGATGAGCGCGGGGAAGTTTTTGAATGCGACCCATCTATTGCAGCAAGAAAATAAAAATTTATCACTGGCCTCTCACAAGATAAAGGGTCTAGGATTTCCTAAAGCTTTCGTAAAAATGCCATCTTGGGTCAAGTATAATGAAACCCTTACGGCTACAGAAATATATAAGGAAAGATATGTAAGACCATTACTCAATGAAGGTGATATTTATGTAGGGTCACCTTGGGAAACTGGAAAAATCTATGTTCTTGAAAATCTCACTATTTCTGATAATGTAAATTTGCTTGTATTATCTACGCGTCATTCTTACTCGAATGCTGTTACTACAAGACTCAATCTCAAATCATATTGTGATATTAATGATAATATAAATCTACTTGATCACAAAAGGGTTGTGTGTCAGATAGAGAGCTTACATCGTATTACTAATAATTGTAAATGTAATAAAAAATGTAAATGCCCTCCAATCCAATATGATTTATGGCTTGATGAAATAGTATCTATAATTGCTCAGGCATAAAGTCGTTTAGCGGGGCAATCAATAGAGAAATTATATAAACTAATTCAAGAAGCGAGACGCATTATTGTTATGGATAATGATCTTACTGATCTTAATATCGAATGGATTAAGGCTCTTCGTAAGGATAAACCATTCTCTATTATCCACAATACTTATCAACCCCAAAAAGGTAAGACATTCCGCTTGGCTCCTAATAAAGAGACTGTATTAACCGAACTTTGGGATTGAGCTAAGCAGATGTCTTCATTACCTTTTGAGAATCGTAAAAGTGCATCACTTATTTGCCATCTTAGAAAAGATCTACAAGGAATTGTTCATGCTCTCAAGACTGAATTTCCAGAATTAAGGATCAAGGAATATCACGGTAAATCCGATCCAATGGAAAAAGCTCAAGATTTCAGCAATGTAGAAGAATCATGGAAAGACATTGACCTAGTTGCTTATACCAGCACTTTAAAAATAGGAGTATCCTGCACTATTCCTAAGTTTGAGCGAGCATTCTGTCTTTTTAATAGCTACATAGAAACAAATGCTGGAACGAATCAGATGTTATTCCGCATGCGATGCATTAAAGATTATATATGCCATATTGAGCAGAGATCTTCTAATGTTCCAGTCACAGAGAAAGGATTATTCCAATGGTTGTTGAATGCCAAACGCGAATGCCTCCCTCGTGAACTTCAGAATAGAGGGATTTTTCCAGATGTAGATTCTATTATACGGAATAAAGATATGCCAACTATTCGATTGTGGGTAGCATATATGTTAGAAAATTTCCGTTCCCGATGTTTATTTGGTTGGAGGATAGTTGATTTTCTCCGAAAGGCAGGTATGGTAGTTTCCACCATAGAATCTATTCCTAAACCTGGTGAAAATGATACATCGTTATCTCAAGTTGTGAAGGTGAATTCTGCTACCGTTAAAGCAGAGGAGATATCAGAAATAACTAATGCTATTATCCTCGATCATGAGACTGCTGAATTATTGGAAAATAAGCCAAGAAAGACTTTGGAAGAAATGCGCTCTTTAGACCGGGACCATATTGTGGAATGCTATCAGATTCCACCCGAATTACTAACCGAAGATTTCATTTCGGAGTATGGGAATTATAATCATATGAAATGGTTCAGAGCTTATAGACAAGTGCGAGATGCCGGTACTGACAATGAAATGGCCGTTGAAGCTATCACTCGTAAAGATTACAGAGAAGATAGGCTTACAACTACCACTCGAGCTGAGAGACATCGTATCTGTCTGGAATTACTAAGAATTTGTACACCAGCTAAAGATATCGATGATAGATCAAGATATAAAGCTGATGATGTCAAAAAGTGCTTGAACACTCCTGAGTCGATATCATATCTCCAGGATTTAGCTCCTAGAATGGCTCGAGTATTCGATAATACAGATGCATTACGCAGAGCTAAAAAATCAGGATTAAAAACAGATCGAGCGAAACTCGGTTTACTGAATTCAGCGCTATATACAACATATGGATTGAAAATTAAGGCTATAGACAAACATAGCAGACATTACCATCTAGTTGGATCATTCGATAATAATAACGCCCCTAAGTTACCTCCATACCAAATAGGAAAAGAAATTTATTGGGAAAATGGGAAAGATACTCGGTATGGGTATAGTAAACTCTCACCTGATGAAATATTAATGAACAATCTTTTGGAGAATAAACAAACCAAAGATATCCCCAGTTCTAATGTGAAAACTATACTAATTGCAGAAGATATTCAAGATTTATTTGATATTGTATAGGTAAAACCATTGTAAAGCAGTATAAATATATTACTGGAGCTTACAGAATCTGGTCATATATACTTTAAGATGGAGGCTTCTGCCAATATTTATATAATAGATTACGCAGAAGCCCCATTCCAGAAATATGCCTTTATATATTAAAAAATAGCGCTATTCGAATTAATGATATAAATA